ACTTCCTTGTAAGACAAGAGGAACTGCTATTGGTGCTATGAAATTAAACAGATTCTTAGTACTGCCATAATGCTCTCAACAATTACACATCCCTCTTGATTCAGTGAATCCACACATGAAAAATCTTAGACTTTCGTTTCCTGCTGATGTCACTGAACATGAATTCAAGATTCTCATGTGCCAAGTCAACAAAATCAAGTAATTGGGGTGGAAGCCTGGGAATTGTTTTCATTAAGATTGCAACATTCCTATAGCATGTGTGGTGTAGAACTTTTCTCATGCTGTTGTCCAGAAAATGAAGATTGGGCTTTTGGAGAAACTACTGTAAAACATATGCAGATTGCCAGTCAAATACTAACCTTTACATTTCTCCTGAAATGCAAAACCTGGTTACACATAGGCAATTATTTTGCTGAAACATGCCTACTGACTCATCCAAGATGTGTCAAAGTATTCTGAAGGTATGCTTTTCATAAAGTTTCTAGAATTAATACAAAAAGGACCAACACCTCATAAATTTGTAGATAAATACATCAATTAAATCCTGCATTTTATCTTTAAATGATATTCACAGAAGTTCACAGGATATTCTGAGTTGGAAGGGTTCCACAAGGGTCATCAAGTCGAACTCTTAAGTGAATGGCCCGTACAGGGATCAAACCCCCAACTTTGGCTTTATCAGCACCATGCTTTAACCAGCTGAACTAATCTCAGGGTTATTCCTACCAAAATGAACGAGTGGTATGTCTCAGTAATAGCAGAATAAATCAGCACTCTGATTTTCAAAGTAATTCACAGTGGAAGCTAATAACCACCTCAAAAACTGGCACAAGAAGATGCGCGTATGTGAATACAAGCAGTAGAGAATTGCAGTTGTACCCGAGTACTGCAAACAGCTGCTCTTAGGAAGCACTACTTATGATTAAAAAAAAAAAACAACAAACCACAAACAAACATATATCCATTATACACAAATTCTTCAAAAAAAGAAAAGAAAACCAAAACCCACCCACAACAAAAACCAAATCAATCGAGGGGCATTGGACATCAGCGACAAGTGGTGTCCCTCAGGGGTCACCACCCTCAGGGGATCAGTGTTATTTGATGTCTTCATTAATTACATAGACAAAGGAATTTTGGAGATGACACCAAGCTGAGCATGTGGCTGACAAACCTGAAGGGTGGGATGGCACCCAGAGGGACATGGACCAGAGCCCACGGGAAGTAGCCCCATGGGAAAATCATGATGTTTAACAAGTGCAAGGTGCTGCACTTGGGTTGGGGCAACTGTGGTGGATGAGGGGCTGGACATGACCCGACAATGTGCACTTGCAGTCCAAAAAACCAGCTGTATCCTGGGCTGCATCCAAAGCAGTGTGGGCAGCTTGGAAAGGGAGGGGATTTTGTCTCTCTGCTCTGCTCTGCTCTGGTGAGACCCCACCTGGAGCACTCTGGGGTCCTCAGCACAGGAAGGACATCAGCCTGTTGGAGGAAGTTCAGAGAAGGGGCCACCAAGTTGGTCAGAGGAATGGAACACCTTTTCTAGGAGGAATGGCTGAGAGGATTGGGATTGTTCAGGCTGGAAAAGAGAAGGCTTTGGGGTGACCTAATTGTGGCCTTCCAGTATGTGAAGGCAAGAAAGATGGAGAGTTTTTAGAGGAGCATGTAGTGACAGGACAAGCAGAGGGAATGGCTTCAAACCGAAAGAGAGTAGCTTAAGATAGGTATTAAGAAGAAATTCTTTACTGTGAGGGTGGTGAGGCACTGGAATGGGTTGCCCAGAGAAGCTGTAGCTACCCTATCCCTGGAAGTGTTCAAGGCCACGATGGATGGGGCTTTGAGCAACCTGCCCTAGTGGAAGGTGTCCCTGCCTACAGCTGGGGGGTTGGAAGCAGATGATCTCATAGGTCCCTTTCATCCCAGGCCATTCTATGCTTCTATGATCCGGTTGGTCTGTACCCGCCAACGACACTGAGTGCTAGGGCTCCAACTTCTGTCTTAAAACAAGAGTAGAGAGTTCAGTGACACATCTGAGAAGACTACAGATAGTCTGTTCTGAGATCTGTTTACTGTGTTTCCAAATAAGCGGTTATTTTAATCAAGGGGATCAACTAGAATTTCCTATAAAATGAAAGGTGAACAGCTTCATGTATTCTCAGAAAAAAAAATAAAATCTATTACCAAATAAAACTGACATCTGCAGAAAAACATGTCTTTGAAATACACCCAAACCCACATTCTTTCTGCTTTTTATACTAGTTCTATTTTAGTAAACTTTTCCAGTTGGGAATTCTCATTTGGTGCAGAATCAATCCCAGTGATGAAGACTGTTTTCTTCCACCATCTCTAAATACACAAAAAAGTAACATTTGGCCCAGTTCCTCTATTAATATGGAGTCAGGTTGTGTGCCAAACAACTACTCTTCTGAAATTTATACAGGGTAAGCTGCCATACCCCTTCCTACTCCCTCACCCCAGACCAGTGAAGCACCTAAAAGACTGAATTCACAACAAGACTTAAACCAGTTTTAATTATCTTGTGCAGGGGGTCTCTGTGGCTGGATTTTGGTACCGGAGAAGGGGGAGGGGGGCCTACAGGGTGGCTTGTTAGAAGCTGCCAGAAGCGTCCCCTATCTGGTGGAGCCAATTCCAGCAGGCTCCAGGAGGGGCTTCCTGCACCTGGACAAGGCTGAGTCCACCAGGAGTGACAGTAACGCCTCTGGGATAACATATTTAAGGACAGAAGGTATTGCATCGCCCAGGGACGAGCAGAGTGAGAACATGGGAACAACAGTGCAGGCACCAAGGTCAGTGCAGAAGGAGGGGCAGGAGGTGCTCCAGGCCCTGCAGCCCCTGGTGCAGCCCGTGGTGGGGCAGCTGTGCCCCTGCAGCCCATGGGGGACCATCGGGGTGCAGAGACCCCCCTGCAGCCCATGGAGGAGCCCACACTGGAGCAGGTGGATGCAGGAAGGAGGTTGTGACCCCTGGGAGACCCAAAATGGAACAGGGTCCTGTTGGGGATCGGCAGCCCATGGAGAGGGAAGCCCAGGCTGGAGCAGGTTTTTCCTGAACAGGACTTGTGGCCCCTGTGGGGGACCCATGGGGGTACAGCTCATTGGGGAAGGACTGCACCCCATGGAGGAGTGACCCACAGGACAGCAGTGTGGGAAGAACTGTTGCCTGTGGGATGAACTCACACTGGAGAGGTCCATCAAGGACTGTCTCCCATGGAGGGACCCCACAGGAACAGGGGAAGGACTCCTCTCCTGAGCAGCAGCAGAAACAACAACTGACCACAACCCCCATTCCCATCCCCCTGCACCACTGGGGGGGAGGAGGGAGAACACGGAAGGAAGGAGGGGTGGGGAGAAGGTGTTTTTTTTAATATTATTTTATTTCTCACTCTTTTGCTCTTATCCTGTTTGTAATAACTGTAAGCACTATCCCCATTCTAAGTCTGTTTTGCCTGTGAAGGTAATCAGTAAGTGACCTCTCCCAGCTCTTATCTCAACCCATGAATCCTTCACTGTTTTTCTTTTTCTCTCCTCTGTCCAGTTGCAGAGGGAGAGTGAGAGAATGGCTTTAGTGGGTACCTGGCATTTGGCCAGGGTCAACCCACTACACCTTGATATGAAATAAAACTAAAGGAAGACAATTAGCGTAACACAGAGCTGATCTTCCATGTAATAACAGAAAAGGAAGAATGGTTAGGATGGTAACAGAGTACACAAGGCCCAAAAAACAGAGCAGTGAGTACTGATGAAAATAGTTACGCAATTAATCAAGTGGAAACTTAAAATAATGTTGGCCCTGTTTTGGGTAGCATGTTCGACCAATATCTGCAGATTGAACCAGTCCCCAAATCTAGCGTGGTACCTAAAAAATAAAATTAAACTAAAAAAAACAAACCAAAGCAAAACAACAAAAAACTGTCAGGAAAACACAGATACACACACACAAAAAAAAGATCCACAAAACTGGAAAAAAGGGTGAAAGAGAAAAAAAGAAAAAAGGCAGTAGAGCAGTAAAAGAATCTTTCTCTGAAATCTATCTCTAGGATAAGCTGGAACAACTCTAAAATTAACTTACTCCAGAATTTCCAAACACAAGGATTTGTGCACTTAGCAAGGCAGTGCTATGCAGGTCGCATTTCACTTCCTAAGAAAGATTATTTATAATTTGACCAATACATGCCCCTTTTTCAAGCATGTCAAGCCAAAAAGTTAGTTTACTATAAAGTGTCATACTTGCACACAATGTAACACACGTTACATGCCAGTGTTAATGAGTCTGCATTATTTACAAAAAGTAAAACTTAAGGTAAAACCATCAACAGTAATAGAAACATGAAAGCCAGTCAGTCTCCCAAGCAGTTCAATGTCAAAACTTTTTCCTTCTGTATGCCACACTTACACTACTGATGCAAGTTTCATTTAACACTTAACATCCAGCACTCTACTGACCCAAAGCAAGGTAATCCGGGAATGTGTCAAAAAAAGGTTAAGAAAATGCTTGCACACAACTAGACAGACTGCTACTTTAAGGCTGCACCACTAAACAGAAGATTCCTATCTGTAAAAGCTTAAATTCCCAAGTCCAAAGCAGGAAAATATAGCTACTGAAAAAAAAAACAAACAAACAAAAAACCCACAAACAACCAAAAAAACCAACCCCTTGAACACTTAGCTAGGCTCTAACCTCTGAAGCCAGAAACCACTGCTGTTCTTTATTAACTGAGGGTGTCAATATGGCAAATCACAAATGTTAAGAATGGCCAAGGAATACAACCAAATATAAAAATACAATACTAAAGACAAATTTCTCATTAACTGCCTAAAAGATTGTTCTAAGTAGAACATATATCTTGTTATGCTACAGACAGTTTAAAGAGTAACTCTAAAAACTGACTGCTATACCTGCACAATCTTTGTGTAGTAAAACCAGTACATAAAGAAACCCATAATGCACATGATCTTGTGAATGAAACATTTATGTCTCACCTTGTCACTGTCATCATTACAAATGTGATCTTGATGGATTGAATGGCATTGAAACGATGTACCAATACTACCTAGAAAAGGAAGGAGAAGGGAAAAGAAATAATTAAAATGATGACCCAATTCCTGTGAACTCTAAAAATAATTTAGCAAACTTTCTTTTCTCTCCGCAGAGAAGACAGATTTACTTGCCAAATAGCTGTCTGATAACACAATAAGCATCAGAGAGACATTCTACAAGTGTGCCAACAATGTCTTCACATATATCTTTTAAGAACATTTAAGCAGAATAAAATTACAGCTATTTCATCAATCTAAAACAAGCAAATGCAGTGAAGTCCATATGCACATATACAAATAATACAAGTAATACCAATTCACCAGGCAATATAGTCCTGCCCTATATCCTGTACTACAGAAAATCCTCAGCTCCCTGAGTAACCACAAAACAGCAGTCTCATTCCAGCAATACATTAGGAATAAGAGTAGAAAATTCCAAGGTCAAGATTTTAACCATGTCCAGTTTGCTGCCCATTTAAGGTCTTTCCACAAGTTTATTTATGCCTAGGAATAAAAGTGACAGTACTCCCCTTCAAAGGCTTACCCCAGTCCTGAGACAAACCAAAATTTGACTGCATCCAAAAAGTCTCAAGCAGAGGTACAGAACTCTTACATAGGCAGATTTTTTTAAAGATGCTGTTAATGTGCTCACAAAGCACAGGAGTGGGGTAACTTCTATTATTGAATTTATGCTTTCCTAAAACGACTCCTCCTGGCAACTACTGAGCAACACAGTCATTAAAAAGCAGGGAGAAAAAAACAAATCTCATTTCTAGAGCCGCCACATTTCATTTTCCTTACAGAAGATCTACCTGGAACTTTTCTCAACAAATTTCTTGTGTGTCTTTTATTTTCAATTTCAAAATTTTAGTAGTCTTATTCTGTAACATTTACAAAAATACCACACAAAAAAGTGTGTCATAAAGCTTTGAAGTCCACATGTTCTTTTGGTCCTGGCCAGAGCTGATCAATGAAGATAATCATGCAAGCAGGCAGCCAGCCATAAGCTGTTGTTTAATCTTTTTTTTTTCTTTGATTATTTACATGATATCATGATGCAGAAAAACTCTGGCTTCTGAGGGCCTGTTCAGATTGTAACATAACCAACAAGTCACAAAAAAACATGAAACTGATTTAGCTTTTAAGCAAACATGAAAATTGATTTAGTTCTTCTAATGCAGGGGGGGGTGCAGTACTGGAAATCACTTAACCTCAAACTGGTAATTTTGGACAAAATATTACTTCCACTCTGCAAATATACAAACAAGACTTCTGTCATCAAATCACATAAGAAATGTCAGTTAGGTTCCTTGGTGAACTTTTTACCAATGAAGGTGTGAACATTGACTAAAACATGTTAAAGACATGAGTCCCTGGGCTCGCAGTGAGTTAGCTGGCCTCTGAAGACCGAATTCAGGGAGGGGAGCAAGCACAATTATTCTTTTGAAAACAGTTTATTTTCCCCCAAGAACAAAGCTTCTTTCTGACTTACCACTTCAGAAAAAAAAATGTTATTTTGCCACAGAAGTCACTGTGTTGGCTTGAACAGCAGCAGAGCACGATCTACTGTGCTCCGTGATTTTTGTAGGAAGAGAAGGCAAAGAAGAAATCACTATATAGTTTAAGTTTCAAGGACCGGTTGTAAGTTGTTCAAAATATGCAATGTTCCCTTCCCACTTAATTTAGACTTATGCAAAATACAAGTGTTTCACTACAAACACTCCACATGCTTTCTTGAAATTGGAAAGAATTCCAGCTCAAAGGCAACCTAAAAACCCCAAGAGAATACAGTATTAAGGATAAGGCTTGATGGCTTTCTGCCCATTACCGCAGAGGCAGAAATGAATTAAAATACAACCTCCTGAATTTTTCTAAGATAAGAAGATAGGCAAAAATTAATGAAAATAGTTACGTTCTCCCAAATTATAACAAACACATAAAAACCGCAACTATGTTTGTGGATAATGAAAGAAATTTCCAGAGGTAGTGCAGTGCCTACATCTAACCTCAACATGACCTAAAACCTGTTCCCTAACAAAACTAAGAACTCATAAACGTGGACCTTGCATTACAGGCTACATTATATGCTTTACAGATAGGCTCTTCAAGGACAGCGATCACATACACAACCTCAGTGGTAAGCTTTGTTCTACCTACAATGGATACCGCCAGCAACAACACAGCTCCCATAGCAGAGTTTCCAGTTAGCAAACGTAACATAGGACACCTGGGCAGCTCATCAGGTTTCACAATGACACAGCTTTAATTTTTTAACAATATTTGCCTTATCAAGAAAAAAAGCTAGCTTGGGTTTTATCTACGTGCTTCAGTCATATTCAGCTGTTCTACAGACAAAAAAAAATGCAGTTAGCAGAGGATATGGCAATGCTTTCTTTTTAATGTTATTATTTTTTCTTAGAAGGATCATTCATGGTCTTCATGCCATATTTGTTTCATTTTCAGTCAATTAATATCCTACCGTACAATAGCAGGATGTAAGACATGATCCCTTAACTGTGGAAAGTAAAGGCTTTACAGACATCCTGGCTGCTTTGCACCTGGTGAGCTGGCTCACCAACAGCCTCACCAAAAGCAGCCTTTAGAAAAGGGTTTATTTCAAAGACAGCATTGATAATGCAGTCCCTTCAATGGGGCCAACAGAGGTAACAGATCTGAGGACGCTGACACAGAGCACTACCAACCAAGCGGTCTGCTTCACAACAGTGCAATCTGTAATTGTGAGTTGCACAACCAGGAAACCCTGTAGGATTTTCCTGATTTTTTTTAAAGTTTTATTTTTTTATATACACATACACACACACACATATATTATATATAATATTAAAATGATATAACATATTTATTATATATAATATATAAATATATATTAAAAGCAGGTTTTAATACTTGAGTTGTTATGTTTTAAAAGCATTTTCTTTCTGACAGATTGCACTGAGACAAACCTGAAAAAAGGTTAATCACCTTCCACCCACCTGCAAGGAAGATGAGAGCTAAAATCTCAAAAGATGACCTCAGCAGCTTTCTATGAGCATCATCAAAAAGTTTTCAATTATTGTTTAACATGCTAACAATGCTAGAGGACTGAAAGGAACTATAAGCCAATTTACACTGCCCTGTCTGCAGGGAGTAGACAGAAACTCAGTTAAACTACCTTCACACCCCCAAATTTACAGGGAATTTCAGACCAGTTCAAGACGAATTGCACCTCAGAGTTAGCAGATCCTAGGGCTACTACAATCAAAGTTTGAATTCTGACTGAAGCACTGTCTCTGCTACAAAGAGAGGGTGGGGAAAGTGCTATAAAGACTCCTACGTAAGTGATGGAATGTGGCACGTGGGCCAATGACCACAGCACCTTCCCAAACACACCTCCTTGATGCTCTGTTCAGATGTAACCCTGAGGTCTAATGCCCATCGTTTTCTCAAGTAACATCCCAGCTTGAACTCTCTCTCTCCTGCAGTCCATAGTCTACGTGCTGTGCGAGTAGCGGGGCACTTTGTAACAATCAGCTTGTTTTCCCGGGCTCGCAGCTTCTAATACCTAGGTGACAAAACTGTAGCCTCAATTTATGCTGAGACACTGCCAAAAGACAACAGGTATCCATGAAACACTGGATCAGCCTCCCCTTCACCGTTCCCGGTATCAGGACAGGGTAGAGAGTAATGTCCTTCAATGGATGCACATGTAACATGTGCTTGTGTACATGTAACACACAGATACATGGAGTCCCCAAAGGCTTAAGGAGAAACCTGTGTTTGCCTTTTACCTCTTTAAACACAGTTAAATACTTCTGCCCTCCCTTTTTCAAATCAAAGTGAGATACCCAGCTTAACAGGATGACTTGAACTACAGGAAAAACGTCAGCTCTTTTGTAAAAAGCAAGAAGTGCTGCACTCCCCAGCTAAAGGAAAAGGATTGTCTTCCTTCTAAACCCACATGTTAAACTGAACAGCAAAAAACAATCTTTAGATTCTTTTTCAGATTTCATGGGTTCTACCTAACTTGTACATTGTAATACGAAGAGAATATACATCAGGTTTGAATTTGCTTCATACTTGCCAATATTAAGCCACCAAAACACACACAGTGCTAGTCCAAGGGAAAAAGAGGAGTGAGTTCAAACCTTTTAATTCAGTCATTTCATAGCTACTGGAAGAATCACACTGCTTAAATGAATTACAGAGATTAGTACTTTCACTAACACCCTTCTCCAACACCAGTCTGATTAGGAAAACATTCGTGCATGACACCTGTACTATTAAACCTACTTCATCTACAGCGATGCTGTGGTCTGGATGGGATCAAGTTGAGACTCTTAATCAACTGCTCCTTTAAAAAAATCAGTGAATTGAGTGGAGTATATGTATCTTCTGATGAGATAAAGCTATGGATGGCCAGTCTGCTTGAAATGATAAAAGGAAGAAAGTTAAATTATCTGTGATCTAGGAGGCTCAACTTGCAAAAAAAATCATGCAAACCACTCATGCAGATTTCTATCATGTGCTAGTCAACAATGTTCCTCTATCTGTGACACATTATTTAGATTTTCCTTCTAATTCAAGAGCCTTCAAACTGCAGTAAAGAAGTTACTTAACAGCATAAGTATACTTTGATGTTACAACAAAAGCGTTAGAGGTGAGTTCAATGAATGATTCAGCTACTCAGGCTGGTCAAGTAAGAGATGGTTGCAAACTACGTATATTATAACACTTATCAATCTTTTTTTCCAATGCACGCAAATCTGACCATGAAGAAGAAACATGTTACGTTTGCCTGGGGGGTCGCAGCTACGCTAGCTGCATACAATGCATACTGCCTTTTTTCTTCCACTTTTTTTTTTTTTTTTAAGAATTCCAACAAATTGAAATCCCACTGGTTTCTAAGAGATTTGAATTCACTTCAATTTGTGTTGTGGAACGAATTTATTACACACTAGGAAGAGGTAATGTTTTTCATGGCACACCACTGACAACTTTTAAAGCAACTTCTGAG